CAGAGTCACACAGAACAAAGTGACGCCAGGCAGCAGGTCTCAGAGTCACACAGGACACAGTGACACCAGGCAGCAGGTCTCATAGTCACACAGGACACAGTGACACCAGGCAGCAGGTCTCAGAGTCACACAGGACACAGTGACACCAGGCAGCAGGTCTCAGAGTCACACAGGACACAGTGACACCAGGCAGCAGGTCTCATAGTCACACAGAACACAGTGACGCCAGGCAGCAGGTCTCAGAGTCACACAGAACACAGTGACGCCAAGCAGCAGGTCTCAGAGTCACACAGAACAAAGTGACGTCAGGCAGCAGGTCTCAGAGTCACACAGAACACAGTGACGCCAGGCAGCAGGTCTCAGAGTCACACAGAACACAGTGACGCCAGGCAGCAGGTCTCAGAGTCACACAGAACAAAGTGACGCCAAGCAGCAGGTCTCAGAGTCACACAGAACACAGTGACGCCAGGCAGCAGGTCTCAAAGTCACACAGAACACAGTGACGCCAGGCAGCAGGTCTCAGAGTCACACAGAGCACAGTGACGCCAGGCAGCAGGTCTCAGAGTCACACAGAACACAGTGACGCCAGGCAGCAGGTCTCAGAGTCACACAGAACACAGTGACGCCAGGCGCAGGTCTCAGAGTCACACAGAACACAGTGACGCCAGGCAGCAGGTCTCAGAGTCACACAGAACACAGTGGACGCCAGGCAGCAGGTCTCAGAGTCACACAGAACACAGTGACGCCAGGCAGCAGTCTCAGAGTCACACAGAACACAGTGACGCCAGGCAGCAGGTCTCAGAGTCACACAGAACACAGTGACGCCAGGCAGCAGGTCTCAGAGTCACACAGAACACAGTGACGCCAGGCAGCAGGTCTCAGAGTCACACAGAACACAGTGACGCCAGGCAGCAGGTCTCAGAGTCACACAGTGACGCCAGGCAGCAGGTCTCAGAGTCACACAGTGACGCCAGGCAGCAGGTCTCAGAGTCACACAGAACACAGTGACGCCAGGCAGCAGGTCTCAGAGTCACACAGAACACAGTGACGCCAAGCAGCAGGTCTCAGAGTCACACAGAACAAAGTGACGCCAGGCAGCAGGTCTCAGAGTCACACAGAACACAGTGACGCCAGGCAGCAGGTCTCAGAGTCACACAGAACACAGTGACGCCAGGCAGCAGGTCTCAGAGTCACACAGAACACAGTGACGCCAGGCAGCAGGTCTCAGAGTCACACAGAACACAGTGACGCCAGGCAGCAGGTCTCAGAGTCACACAGAACACAGTGACGCCAAGCAGCAGGTCTCAGAGTCACACAGAACAAAGTGACGCCAGGCAGCAGGTCTCAGAGTCACACAGTGACGCCAGGCAGCAGGTCTCAGAGTCACACAGAACACAGTGACGCCAAGCAGCAGGTCTCAGAGTCACACAGTGACGCCAGGCAGCAGGTCTCAGAGTCACACAGTGACGCCAGGCAGCAGGTCTCAGAGTCACACAGAACACAGTGACGCCAAGCAGCAGGTCTCAGAGTCACACAGAACAAAGTGACGCCAGGCAGCAGGTCTCAGAGTCACACAGTGACGCCAGGCAGCAGGTCTCAGAGTCACACAGAACACAGTGACGCCAAGCAGCAGGTCTCAGAGTCCACAGAACAAAGTGACGCCAGGCAGCAGGTCTCAGAGTCACACAGTGACGCCAGGCAGCAGGTCTCAGAGTCACACAGAACACAGTGACGCCAAGCAGCAGGTCTCAGAGTCACACAGAACAAAGTGACGCCAGGCAGCAGGTCTCAGAGTCACACAGTGACGCCAGGCAGCAGGTCTCAGAGTCACACAGAACACAGTGACGCCAGGCAGCAGGTCTCAGAGTCACACAGAACACAGTGACGCCACAACCAATACAAATAAAAAATATTTACCTAGAAAATATGTTTGTGTTGGAGTGTCATTCATGGAAAAACCCATAGTAATGGAAAACGTTTGTGTCTGTCTTAATAAAACTTAAACCTACCTCGACACTGAAGAATTATTCAGTAAAAAAAATGATTAGCATAACAGCATTTTTTGCGTTAAGAGAAAATAACTACATAGAAGAGAAGCAATGAAATTTTTACCTCCAATATATTTTTCGGGGATGAGAGAAGAAACGTGAAAGAGAAGATGAGGCAGTTTGTGTGAGATAACCTTAACACATATATTCCATTTCATGAAACATAATTACAACAGGTTTAGGAGGTGTCATGGCACTGATGCTGAGGGCAGAGTTAGTGTCAGCGGCCATCAATGGCAGGGAAGGAGCGGGTCATGCTGACGTTCTTCCCCAGCCTTGAGGGGGAATAACAGGAAAATAACACCCTTTTCACAGCTCTGGTGTTCTTAAGAAACACATGTCTGACAATGTGCTTTCTGCGAAGTCGTGGAAAAACTCATATAGGAAACTTTGGAACTCTATGTTTTTCCTTCTATTTTGTAAGTCGAAGTCTGTATGTGAGATTGTTAGGAATATTCTATATATATATATATATATATATAATGTACACACACACACACATGTATATATATTTATATATAATATCTTACTCTCTTATATTTACAGGCAAAGATCTGTGGTATATATTTAGTGTTTTTTTTTTTTTTAACTCATCGGGATATTGAAATTCTCCAACAAATGCAGTCATATTTTGGGTTCATGGGAGAACCACTTGTTTTGTTAATGAATCCTAATCTAAAGAACCTAACCAAACATAGATTAGGAGTTAGATTCTATGGTATGGTAGATGAGATTTAGATTTTCTTAATTTTTTATGGTTATCAATGAAAAAGGTTTTATTACTTAAGTCCAATATATACCAGGTTCCACTGTACACTCTACTTAGTATTACTGAATTTAAACAACAACAACAACAACAGCAACAACAATAATAATAATAATAATAATAATAATAATAATAATAATAATAATAATAATAATAATAATAATAATAATAATAATTAATAATAATAATAATAATAATAATAATAATAATAATAATAATAATAATAATAATAATAATAATAATAATAATAATAATAAACAACACTAACAACAACAATAATAACACAAGTGCAACTAATGTGATATTTTATTGTGGCAACGTTTCGCTCTCCAGGAGCTTTGTCAAGCCGATACGATCGGCTTGATAAAGCTCCTGGAGAGCGAAACGTTGCCACAATAAAATGTCACATTAGTTGCACTTGTGTCCTTTTACTTTACATATTGTCGGTAATTCTACCAACATTATTACATGCCACATTATTAACACCACTACTACTACTACTACTACTACTACTACTACTACTACTACTACTACTACTAATAATAATAATAATAATAATAATAATAATAATAATAATAATAATAAACAGAAGACCTTACACTCAATAACAGTTAGATAAGTCATACAGTGTCGCCTCATTTGAAAGCCTCGTCCAGTCAGTCATTAATAGAAATGAGTGACATGTTGGGTCCCCCGTTTCTTATGAATTTGGTGAATTTAAGCGATATAAATTCCTGTTTTAAAAACAAGTGTAAGAAGGTATAGGCTGTAGGGTGAGTACAAATAGGGAGCGCTTTTGTCTCTCGTGGTGGAGGATCAAGCCTCCACAGCGTCTTGCTCTGAATGACCCACATGGGTTTAGCGCTTAACATGAACTATTTCAATTGAGCGTAGGCCTACTGCAGTGAACAATTGTTATGTTGTGGTTAACAAAGACACGCAGGCAGCAACTAGAAATTTCATTGCAACGTTTCGCCTGTGTAACAGGTGCTTTATCAACACTTGACAAAGTTTAGAATTGCGGCTACATTATTATCGTGGGAGAGCGCTAAACCCGTAGGGATTATACAGCGCCTGAGACAGGGGAAGGGGGATGATGGAATTCATTCAGGCTCAATTCAGGGAACTGGAGCACAGATCCAATTCCCCAGATCAAGAGCCCCTCACCATGGGACTTGCTGCTCCAGTGTTTGTCAGTCACAACTCTAGCTGATAATCCCACATCATCTGTTACAACTCTTAACATTCTATTTTGCTCTGAGTCTATTTTAGCGTTCTATTTCGTGTGCACATGATTTGTTAACACACATAAAGGCTTCCTTCCAACTAATTTAGTAATAACATCAACAAATACCCACCTCTGGTTTTAACAGACGTTTCGACCAAGTGAGATCTTCATCACCTCTGACCTAGTGTTTGATCACATGTTTTTTAATCCTATTTTATTATTGCTACGGACAAGGTATGTTGACAATGGTATAAAATACCGACAGGTTGATAATTCAGACACAACTGCAACAGTTGGGTATCTGTAGTGTTGAAGAAGCCTGCTGTGTGAGCGAAACGTTTCGGCAAGAAAGATGCCCAACTGCTGCACAAGTTTCTTAATCATCAACAGACAAGGTACAAAGTACCTACAAATGTGTAAAAGATGTACTCAAGGAACATTAGATAACCTAAATATGGAAAAGTTCTCCCCTGCCATGGACTGAGTATCCGTCAGGAGGGTCACTAGTTAGGACTAAAATGTTCATTAACTACTCTGCTGTAGAATGTTATTAATTCTTATAGCGTATTGTACATATATAGTCATTTTATGGTTTACTTAATGCAGTAGTTATATTTCAGTGATATATGCCTGCGAGATACAGTGAGCTTTCTTACGAAGCTCTTCTAAACTGCGATTTTTTGCCAGTGCGACTGAAAAAGTAAATAAAAAAGTGAATAATGCTCAGAGAGGCCTTCTTGGTACTTGTTATTCAGTTTTGATGACTTTTTCTCAATCTCATTTACAAAAACTCAGGCTGCATACAGGCGATTTATAACAGGGCTGACAGTACTATGTAAATTCAACAAATGTGGGACTGACGGATGACGGCGTCACTGTATGTGTTCGTGGGTTGTGTGCTGGAGCCGGTGGCCGGCCTGCTAATATATAAGGCAAGCAGGTGCCGACGCTCGCCTCACACCTGAGCAACACAGGTACATACTAAGGTCTCGAGTGCATTCTTCGTTTGTGTACGTTGAACCGTGTTTGTTCTGAGCAAGCTCTAACTCTCGGCCTGTTAATCATCAACCGATCGGTTTTGTGTACGTAGCCTGCTGGCCTATGCTAGGCTAGTTCCCCTCGAGCGCATTTCTTCTCTCATATTTCTCTCTCACCTACTTTTTATTTAGAGGTAGCCATGGCGTTATCGTGATTGACTTTTCTTGGTAGACTGTGTCATTCGCCTACAGCTCTAAACCATTACTTTCCTGTATCTTTTATTAATCTAAACTCAAGTAGCTTGAAAATAATCGAACTTTTTTTGATTAGATATTCATATCACCCATTTATACATTTTTTATTTACGCTGTTTTACTTACCAATGTGTGTGTGTATTGATTGTCATTGCTTTTGTGCTACCCTTATATAAATGTATAACATTGTTTCTGGTAATGCAACTGTAAAACGACTTAAGAAAAGATACTTCTACACGGACTGAAACAATCATTGTACCATACCAGTTGAACTGCTAATGTCTTTGACGTAGTACCCGATAAATGACTGACCCACAAGTTGCATTGACTAGTTGTGGTGACAGGCACAGTGGAGGACATCAGGAAGATAGTAAACAAAAAGTTTCAGTGAATGGTGGCATGTCAGTGAGAGTTGCTGGATGGGTCTCAACGAGGTCAGTGCTGTTCCGTATATTTATGTAGTTACTAGGACTTCAACCCCCTAGCATAAAGAAAGAAACGACACTTAGCTCCAGGGAATGAAAACCAGAGACAGTATACTACCTAGGAGGAGAACTCAAGGTGAATAAACAAAATCAAGGAAGTGACTCTTATATCAAACCTGTTTCTTCAAGTGCACACACACACACACACACACACACACACACACACACACACACACACACACACACACACACACACACACACACACACACACACACACACACACACACACACACACGTACTCATATACAACAGGCCTAGTGTCTAATCGACATGTGCCTAGGACAGAATGGTAACTAACACACACACACACACACACAGAAACAAGGGGTCACAATTGGAACCTGAAGACTCAGATGAGTCAAAGGGATGTTAGGAAGTATTTCTTCATTCATAGAGTAGTTAGGAAGTGGAATAGTCTGGCAAGCGAAGTAGTGGAGGCAGGAACTATACATAGTTTTAAGACGAGGTATGATAAAGCTCATGGAGCTGGGGGAGAGAGGACCTAGTAGCGGTCGGTGAAGAGGCGGGGCCAGGACCTGAGTCTCAACCCCTGCAACTACAATTAGGCGAGTACACACGCACGCTGCAACATCAATAACCTTGGCAGATACAATAACAATTCCCTTAAATCATATACTTCAACTCATTCTGTTGTTCAGCCTCAAGTATACATAGTACTAACATAAAATCCAATTAAGATGAACGCAAAATAAAAGTCATAAATCTTATACCTCAGATTGTCCACAGCATCACTGTAGTTATATGTACTATGTACTACTTCCTGAGTACCGATTGTGTGTTGCCTTCTCTCTTACAGCTGTTGTACATGTTCCATTATAACGGGTCATCTATATGATTAAGACTAGTGTCAGGTGACACTTGTCTTGGCTTCTGCCGAATATTATAACAACAACCATCATTCTTTTTTGGAATTTGGTACTAAAAGGTTATAACTATGATCATTTTTTTAAAGGGCTGAAGGGGTAAGCCAGCGGAAGGCCTCGGTCAGATGACCAAAAGCTCCAGTTGTGGGTCATCATATGACTAAGTCCCGCGTCAGGAAATACTTGTCCTGTTTCCTGACGAACCTTACCAAACTTAACCTAGGAATTTGGTAGGCTATATGTTTTCCACCTTAGCCTCGTAACTACGCTATTCACATAAACATAACTGAAACCCTCGATTATAATTTCTTCTTCTTTTTACTTTCACTTTTATTTGTCTATTTAGTATACTGTACATTCCTTCCATTATCTTGTTACATTCTCCTCTCTCCAACATGTTAAACAGCAGCCATTCACTTTCATATGTTATATTTTAGCATTTATCTGTCAAAAATTATCAACATTACTTGAGGTTTGACTGACAGTTACTGCAGCCGGCCAGTAGGCCTGCTGAAGTGCTCCTTCCTATGTTTGGTCAGTATTAAGTCGTCACTGCTCTCCTACTCAACATTATTAACGTTGCTCAGTCACAATGTCTTCTGTTCGGTGTTTAAATTCTAATATTTATCCTAGTATAAACGTGTTTTATGTGTCTTTCATGTTTTGTTTTCATTTGTGTTGATTTTTGTTTAATTATACCTTGATTATTGTTCTGAGGCTTAAAGCTGCGTGTGTAAACAAAAATTTGCAATGCCCTGACTGACGAGCCACGATCGTTTATTCAAGTTGCTTAGTTGTTTGTTGTATGTACGTTTTCGTACGTTTGTGATGTCTAGTTTTAGCCTTTAAACTGGTCGCACGCACGCACACACACACACACACACACACACACACACACACACACACACACACACACACACACACACACACACACACACACACACACACACACACACACATACACACACACACACACTCACACACACACACACACACACACACAGGTAACCAACCCGCCTGACCACCTCTTTCGACTCTCCTGTCCACATCTGAACATAATTTCAACCTTTCCAGGTGAAGAGACACATAGGTGAATACACACATTAATTTTTCCCTCTTTTAATTCGCTGTTTGTCTCGTCTTCAGTGTTTGTAGTCAGGTAAAGAGATGTATTTGATGTGGGCTCGTTTCTCGTGTTGGTAACACTGCACTAATGGAATTTTCTGGTTGACAACACTGCAGTATTGGAACTTTCTTGTTGGCAATACTGCAGTATTGGAACTTTCATGCTGGCAACACTGCACCAATGGAACTTTCTTGTTAGCAACACTGCAGTAATGGAACTTCCTTGTTGGCAACACTGCAGTATTGGAACTTTCATGTTGGCAACACTGCACCAATGGAACTTTCTTGTTCGCAACACTGCAGTAATGGAACTTTCTTGTTGTCAACACTGCAGTAATGGAACTTTCTTGTTGGCAACACTGCAGTAATGGAACTTTCTTGTTGGCAACACTGCAGTAATGGAACTTTCTTGTTGTTAACACTGCACCAATGGAACTTTCTTGTTGGCAACACTGCAGTAATGGAACTTTCTTGTTGGCAACACTGCAGTAATGGAACTTTCTTGTGGCAACACTGCAGTAATGGAACTTTCTTGTTGGCAACACTGCAGTAATGGAACTTTCTTGTTGGCAACACTGCAGTAATGGAACTTTCTTGTTGGCAACACTGCAGTAATGGAACTTTCTTGTTGGCAACACTGCAGTAATGGAACTTTCTTGTTGGAAAACACTGCAGTAATGGAACTTTCTTGTTGGCAACACTGCAGTAATGGAACTTTCTTGTTGGCAACACTGCAGTAATGGTACTTGTGCATCAGACACAAATTTAGTTTTTAATGTGACTCGTCAGTGATTTTTATTTTAAAAGACATAAATATAAATGAGAATATCAACAATAACTGGAGGAACCATTGTAAATATGGGGGGCGCTGACCCCCCTCCGGTGAAGAGCTCTTGTTCCAAGAACCTGGAGCTAACTTCCTCTTCCTGCAGATGGAAAATGGTTGCCTCATGTGCTAGACGACCCCCTACGGGGTTAGCGCTCCTTCAGGGTCATCATAGGCTGGCAGAATTTTCCCAGTCTCATGCGGTTGCCAACACGTCATCGCCGTAAATTAGGATTTTTAACCAGTTTTGAAAATAAATTTTCGTGTGTTGCGTTGACGATATTTTGATCTTGTTAATGAAGACACTATAAATCTCTCTTTGTCTCTAATTAAATTGTCTTTCTAGGATGTTGGTGAGAGGCAGTAGTGTGTTGGAGGTGGTGTTGGTGCTGGTGGTGGTGAAGACAGGGCACTCAGGACACTCCAGGCTCGCCCGCCAGGGTGAGTGTTGCCCACCAAGATGAAGAAGTTTAGAACTTAAGAGGCACGTAAGTTCCTCCCGTCTTCTAATAACATGTTCATTTTTCCACTATATTCTACTTTGTCCATAATTACTATCTTATTTGCTTTGTTTCGTAAGGTGAAGTCCAGGATCTTTCCTTAATTCATTGTGTAACTTAAATCTTTGATGACAACTGTGATGCGAAGCTCAGACCTCTGCAACACAGTTGTCATCAAAGATTTCTTAAGTTATACCATGAATTAAGGAAAGATTCTGGACTTCACCTTACGAAACAAAGCAAATAAGATAGTAATTATGGACTAGGTAGATTATAGTGGAAAAATAAACATGTTATTAGAAGACGGTGGAACTTACGTGTCTCTAAATAAACACTCACACACAAACACACACATTACAACTGACTTCTTATGTGTGTTTTATTTGCATCAAAATGTTAATATTATTTTGCCTTCCGTCATTCATGAATTAGTACACACGAGTCTGTCAGTCCAGCAGCAATAACATGCACAAGTAACAAGTTCCTTGACACAAGCCACCGTCAGCTTCTCAGTAATCTCATCTCATTGCTCTCTCTCTCTCCTCTCCATACATCTTTGACGTCATTCAGCGTCCAAATGCCATGCGGATGAACCGTGTGAGCTCCTAAACACCTGCCAGTTCTACCAGGACCTCCTCAGTAATTCTCCCTCGGCAGCAGACATCGCTAAGATGCGCGAGAATATATGTGACAACACCCGACGCAGAACCAAGGTGAGTCTTTCCATCTTGTATATCATGTTACAAATGATAGACAATACTAACAAGTTGATGAATAACACATGTGCATCATTTATGCATGTTTGTTGTGAAAACGTTTCGCTTGCGTGGCAAGCTTCTTTAATCGAGTACAAATAATTACAACAATGGATAGAGTATGGGATCTGGGGAGAGTGAAAAGTTAGCAAGAATCTCCTGGGTGAAGAACTAGCTGAGTGTAGGTAGGTATCTTTGGTTCTCGGTCAGCAGAGAGGTCATAACAACATAAAAATGGATGAACACTGCAGCAGGCCTACTGACCCATAAAAGGCAGGTCGTTATCAGAATCATCCTCTCCAACCAGTTTCTGGGCTAAACAATCCAATCGCCCTTGCCACTTCACACGGCATATCGTTGGTGGGGCTCTCACTGTGTAAGGACCGACAGACAAGTAAGATTATATCAGATGGTGTTCTATAAGTCTGAGATGTCCCATAGGCTATTAGGGCTACCAGTGACGATGCCGCTAGACTTTGATGTCCCACAGGCTAGTAAAGCTGTTAAAGACTGCGCAAGAAATATTATCAAGGAGGGTATTCTACCTGTGTGATAACGGGTTATCTATATGATCAAGCCCCGTGTAAGGAGACCGCAGACGGAGTATAGGCTAGGTGGCCAAAGACTGCAAACTTCGGTCAAGGAGAAAGATCTTGGGGTGAGTATAACACCGAGCACGTCTCCGGAAGCACACAACAACCAGATAACTGCCGCAGCATATGGGCGCCTGGCAAACATGAGAATAGCGTTCCGATACCGTAGTAAGGAATCGTTCAAGACACTGTACACCGTGTACGTCAGGCCCATACTGGAGTACGCAGCACCTGTTTGGAACCCACACTTGATCAAGCACGTCAAGAAATTAGAGAATATGCAAATGTTTGCGACAAGGTTAGTTCCAGAGCTAAGGGAAATGTCCTACGAAGAAAGGTTAAGGGAAATCTACCTGACGACACTGGAGGGCAGGAGGGTTAGGGGAAACATGATAACAACATGCAAAATACTGCGTGGAATAGACAAGGTGGACAGAGATAGGATGTTCCAGAGAGGGGACACACAAACAAGGAGTCACAATTGAAAATTGAAGATCCATATGAATCAAAGGGATGTTAGGAAATATTTCTTCAGTCATAGAGTAGTCAGGAAGTAGAATAGCCTAGCAAATGAGGTAGTGGAGCTAGGAACCATACATAGCTTTAAGATGAGGTATGATAAAGCTCATGGAGCAGGGAGAGAGAGAGGACCTAGTAGCACTCAGTGAAGTGGCGGGGCCAGAAGCTGGGTCTCGACCCCTGCAACCACACTTAGGTGAGTACAATTTAGTGAGTACACACACACGCACACACACACACACACACACACACACACACACACACACACACACACACACACACACACACACACACACACACACACACACACACATACACGCACACACACGCACGCACACACACAAAATGGAGAAAGAGCTCTCTGTGAAATTGGAAAAGAGGTTGGAGAAGGAGACAAAGAATTGGGAGGCACAAGTCGAAACTGCAGTAGCCAAGATAAGGGTCCTAGAAGTTGAGATAAATAGGCTGAAGCGGGTTACAGGGGCAGTGACCAGAGAAGACACAGCATATGAAGCTGCGAGGCCGAACAGGAAGGAAGGAACTATGAATTATGCTAAGGTCACATCAGTCTGCCAAGGAGGACCAAGGAGTGAAAGGGAAGATCAGCTGGTTGCAGATGGAGAGGGTGATAGGTCGAATGCTGAGGCACAACAAGGCTATCAAGAGCCACTGGAAAAATCAAGGGAGAAACTGACCACATACAGGCAGGATCCAGAGTCACAGAGGGTGAGGCAATGGGAGGAAGAAAGGGCAAAATCAGTGTTTATCCATGGGCTTCAGGAGAGAGAGGAAAGGACACACACTGAAGGCAGCAGGAAGAAAGAAAGGAGATTGAGAAAATCATCACGGAATAGGTGAACAGATGGACGAGATTGTAAATTTTCAGAGAATAGGGGGTACTCGAAGGGGAGAAACCGACCAATTAAGCTGATTCTCAGGACGGAAACAGTGCGGAACAGGATCCTCCAAGAGAAACCACGATTGAAATACTCGGAAGAGTACAAGAGGGTGTTCCTAGACAGAGACAGAACAAAATCAGAACGACAGCAGCTGAGGGAGAGGACAAAAATGCGAAAGGAGCTAGGAAAAGAGACAAGGAGGGAACCAGCAAAAGGTCAGTCAGAGCAGAACAGAACAGCAAGGGCAAGCACACACACAACTACTCTCAGAACCATACAACCTATCACACCATCCCAACACACACTACAATCCATACCCACAGCCTCCACCCAACACCAAGCTATAGAATCCCACAGTATGCCACCAGGTCTCCCACCCCCACAGGCCCCCCAAACCACAGTGTTGGAAAGGAAACTGAAGGTATGGTACACAAACGCTGATGGAATACAAATAAGTGGGAGGAGTGGCATGAAAGAGTCAAAGAAGCATCACCGGACATCATAGCTCTCACAGAAACCAAGCTTACAGGTATGATAACAGATGCCATCTTTCCAACGGGATACCAAATCCTGAGGAAAGACAGAGGGAACAGGGGGGTGGAGGAGTGGCGTTGCTGATCAAAAATCGCTGGAATTTTGATGAGTGGAGAGAGGAGACAGCGGAGAAGAAAGTGATTACATAGTGGGAACACTTCACTCTGGAGGTCCCAAGGTGGTAATAGCAGTGATGTATAACCCACCACAGAACAGCAGGAGGCCAAGGCAAGAGTACGACGAGAGCAATAGAGCGATGGTTGACACACTGGCTAGAGTGGCCAGAAGAGCTCATGCATGCAGGGCAAAGCTCCTGATCATGGGTGACTTTAACCACAAGGAGATCGATTGGGAGAACTTGGACCCACATGGGGGCCAAGATACATGGAGGGCTAAGATGATGGAGGTGGTACTGGAAAACTTCATGTGCCAACACGTAAGGGACACTACAAGAGAGAGAGGAGAGGATGAACCAGCAAGGCTGGACTTAGTATTCACCTTGAGTAGTGCAGATATCGAGGACATCACATATGAAAGACCCCTTGGGGCCAGTGACCATGTGGTTTTAAGCTTCGAATACACAGTAGAGCTACAAGTGGAGGAGAAGCAGGAAGCCAGGACGAATGAAGCCAAACTACAAGAAAGGGGACTACACAGGAATGAGGAACTACCTGAATGGGGTTCAGTGGGACAGAGAACTGGCAGGGAAGCCAGTTAATGAGATGATGGAATATGTAGCAACAAAATGCAAGGAGGCTGAGGAGAGGTTTTGTACCCAAGGGTAACAGGATTAATGAAAAAGCCAGGATGAGCCCATGGTTTACCCAAAGGTGCAGGGAGGCAAAAACCAAGTGTGCTAGGGAATGGAAGAAATATAGAAGGCAAAGGACCCAGGAGAATAAGGAGAACAGTCGTAGAGCCAGAAACGAATATGCACAGATAAGAAGGGAGGCCCAAAGACAATATGAAAATGACATAGCAGCGAAAGCCAAATCTGACCCGAAACTGTTGTACAGCCACATCAGGAGGAAAACAACAGTCAAGGACCAGGTAATCAGGCTAAGGAAGGAAGGAGGAGAGACAACAAGAAATGACCGTGAAGTATGTGAAGAACTCAACAAGAGAATTCAAAGAAGTGTTCACAGAGGAGACAGAAGGGACTCCAGAAAGACGGAGAGGTGGGGCACACCACCAAGTGCTGGACATAGTGCACACAACCGAGGAAGAAGTGAAGAGGCTTCTGAGTGAGCTAGATACCTCAAAGGCAATGGGGCCAGATAACATCTCCCCATGGTATTGAGAGAGGGAGCAGAGGTGCTATGTGTACCCCTAACAACAATATTCAATACATCTATCGAAACAGGGAGATTGCCTGAGGCATGGAAGACAGCAAATGTAGTCCCAATCTTTAAAAAAAGGAGACAGACATGAAGCATTAAACTACAGACCAGTGTCACTGACATGTATAGTATGCAAAATCACGGAGAAGATATCAGGAGAAGAGTGGTGGAACACCTAGAAAGGAATGATCTCATCAACAGCAGCCAACATGGTTTCAGGGACGGGAAATCCTGTGTCACAAACCTACTGGAGTTCTATGACATGGTGACAGCAGTAAGACAAGAGAGAGAGGGGTGGGTGGATTGCATTTTCTTGGACTGCAAGAAGGCGTTTGACACAGTTCCACACAAGAGATTGGTGCAAAAACTGGAGGACCAAGCAGGGATAACAGGGAAGGCACTACAATGGATCAGGGAATACTTGTCAGGAAGACAGCAGCGAGTCATGGTACGTGGCGAGGTGTCAGAGTGGGCACCTGTGACCAGCGGGGTCCCCCAGGGGTCAGTCCTAGGACCAGTGCTGTTTCTGGTATTTGTGAACGACATGACGGAAGGAATAGACTCTGAGGTGTCCCTGTTTGCAGATGACGTGAAGTTGATGAGAAGAATTCACTCGATCGAAGACCAGGCAGAACTACAAAGGGATCTGGACAGGCTGCAGACCTGGTCCAGCAATTGGCTCCTGGAGTTCAATCCCACCAAGTGCAAAGTCATGAAGATTGGGGAAGGGCAAAGAAGGCCGCAGACGGAGTACAGTCTAGGGGGTCAGAGACTACAAACCTCACTCAAGGAAAAAGATCTTGGGGTGAGTATAACACCAGGCACATCTCCTGAAGCGCACATCAACCAAATAACTGCTGAAGCATATGGGCGCCTAGCAAACCTCAGAACAGCATTCCGACATCTTAATAAGGAATCATTCAGGACCCTGTACACAGTGTATGTTAGGCCCATATTGGAGTATGCGGCACCAGTTTGGAACCCACACCTAGCCAAGCACGTGAAGAAACTAGAGAAAGTGCAAAGGTTTGCAACAAGACTAGTCCCAGAGCTAAGAGGTATGTCCTACGAGGAGAGGTTAAGGGAAATCAATCTGACGACACTGGAGGACAGGAGAGATAGGGGGGACATGATAACGACATACAAAATACTGAGAGGAATTGACAAGGTGGACAAAGACAGGATGTTCCAGAGATTGGACACAGTAACAAGGGGACACAGTTGGAAGCTGAAGACACAGATGAATCACAGGGATGTTAGGAAGTATTTCTTCAGCCACAGAGTAGTCAGTAAGTGGAATAGTTTGGGAAGCGATGTAGTGGAGGCAGGATCCATACATAGCTTTAAGCAGAGGTATGATAAAGCTCACGGCTCAGGGAGAGTGACCTAGTAGCGATCAGTGAAGAGGCGGGGCCAGGAGCTCGGACTCGACCCCCGCAACCTCAACTATGTGAGGTGAGTACACACACACACATGCACACGCACACACACACCCACACACAATGCGCTTATCAACGACAACCAGCAAGGATTAAGGGACACGAAATTATGTGTCAGAAACCTACTAGAGTTCTATGACAAGGTGACAGCAGTAAGACAAGAGAGAGATGAGTGGGTAGACTGCGTTTTCATGGACTGTAAGATGGCTTTTGGTTTAGAAAGACACGTAAGCAATACACTATGGACATGGCTTTTAACACAGTTCCACACAAGAGGATAGTGAGCAAGCTGGAGGATCAGGCAGGTATGAACAGGGAAGGCACTGCAAAGGATCAGAGAATACCTGACGGGAAGACATCAGCGAGTCATGGTACGTGACGAGGTGTCAGAGTGGGCTCCTGTGACAAGCGGGGTTCCGCAGGGGTCAGTACTAGGACCGGTGCTGTTTCTGGTATATGTGAATGACATGACGGAAGGACTAGACTCAGTGTCCCTGTTTTCAGACGATGTGAAGTTAATGAGGAGAATGCAATGGGAGAAGGACCAGGCAGGACTACAAAGGGATCTGGACAGGCTGCAGGCCTGGTCCAGAAACTGGCTCCTGGAGTTCAACCCCACCAAGTGCAAAGTCATGAATATTGTGGAAGGGCAAAGAAGACTGTAAACAGAGTACAGTCTAGGGGGCAAAGACCACAAACGTTACTCAAGGAAAAGGATCTTGGGGTGAGTATAATACTGAGCACATCTCCTGAGGTGCACATCAGCCAAATAACTGCTGCAGCATATGGGCGCCTACCAAACCTAAGAATAGTATTCCGACATCTCAACAAAGAATAGTTCAAGACCCTGTACACCGTGTACGTCAAGCCCATATTGGAATATGCAGCACCTTCGGAACTCACGCCTGGCCAAGCACGTCAGGAAATTAGAGAAAGTGCAAAGGTCTGCAACGAGACTAGTCCCGGAGCTAAGGGGAATGTCCGACGAGGAGAGGTTAAGGGAAATCGACCTGATGACACTGGAGATAGGAGGGATATGATAACGACATATAAAATACTAAGAGGAATCGGCAAGGTGAACAGAGACAGGATGTTCCAGAGATGGGGCACAACTACAAGGGGTCACAATTGGAAGTTGAAGACTCAGATGAGTCACAGGGATGTTAGGAAGTTCTTCTTCAGTTATAGAGTAGTCAAGAAGTGGAATAGTCTGGTAAGTGATGTAGTGGAGGCAGGATCCATACATAGCTTTAAGAAGAGGCATGATAAAGCTCATGGAGCAGGGAGAGTGACCTAGTAGCGACCAATGAAGAGGCGGGGCCAGGAGCTATGACTCGACCCCTGCAACCACAATTAGGTGAGTAGACACACACCTGAACTCTCTAATCAGAAGAAGCAAATAATAACCCAGCATGATTCTTAATTTTCCAGGTGTGTTGCCCCAAAGCCACCCCAACAAAGCCAACTCCGCCCACGCCTACGCCCACGCCCAGAACTGTCTCCCCAGCTGGACCCACGCCCACTGTGGACCCCGCGGTAGGAGAGGCGCTCCTGCCGACGAACTGCGGTAGAACGAGGACCAGCACCAAGATCTTTTTCGGGGAAAACGCTGTCCTGGGAGAGTACCCCTGGATGGCCAATTTGGGTTACGGAAGTACGTTAAAAGCGAGTTGTTCTCTCTCTCTCTTATATTTACATACATATCGTTGTGTGTGTAGCGAGCGCCAGCCTGTCTCACACTGCCTCTGTCTTGACAGATCGTCAGAACCCCACCTGGGGTTGTGGAGGTGCTCTTATCACCGACCAATATGTGTTGTCAGCCGGACACTGTCTGGATTCAGACTTCACCGGGGGCCAAAGTGTGTAAGTAACACATGACTTTTGTGTGAATTGGTGTGGCACATTGTTTTCGTATAAGTACCGAAGGTTTTGTGTAAGTCAGATAGTTTGTGTGCCATGACCTAAACGTTCAAAGGACTGAGCATTTTCTAATTTAAGAGGTTTGTCGGAAAAGGTGCCATTTAATTGATGGGGTTTCTCAAGGATATCATAGACCGTTATATTTAATTTTAGTAATAAGTTTTATTATAAATGCAGTTCACAAATTATCATAATAATACATATTGTAAATACCTACGATAACCCCCCAAAAACGTCAAAATGACTTATTTCTAATGTTAACTTCTGTTCTTTAGCCTTTCTGAAATATCTCGTCTTTAAATAGTCTATCACCTTATATTCTTCTATGTGGTTCACGTCTAGTGTGTGTTCATCAGAGTGCTGATAAGGCTGGGAGAACACAACTTGGCCACCGTCAAGGACTGCGAGAGCAACAGCGTCACCAGCGGCCAGCTCTGCGCCGAGCCAGTGCAGGACTTTGCTCCGGCTGCCTTGTACAAGAACCACAACTTCAACACTCGCCTCTTCTCCAGCGACGACATCTCGCTCATCAAGCTGGAGAAAAAGGCCACCCTCAACTGTGAGTTATTTTTTGGGCAGCCTCAGACTTTTGTGTGAGGCCATCCTTTGTCGCAGTTGGAAAAATTTGTCACCGCTGGTTGTACATTATATAACTAAAGACGAGGAGACACAGGGAAGAGACCAGAGGGAGGGGGACACAGGAGAGATCAGGGGGAGGGGGACAGGGGAGAGTCCAGAGGGAGGAGGACACAGGGAAGGGACAGGGAAGGGGTCACAGGGGAGAGACCAGGGAGATGGGGACACAGGAAGAGACCAGTGGGGAGGGGGACACAAGGAGAGAATAAGGGGGAGGGGGACACAGGGAAGAAACCAGGGGGAGGGGACACAGGGAAGAGAATAAGGGAGGGGACACAGGGGAGAGACCAGGGGAGGGGGACACGGGGAAGAGACCAGAGGGAGGGGGACACAAGGGAGAGCCCAGGGGAGGGAGACAGGGGAGAGTCCAGGGAGGGGGCCCGGGGGAAAGAGTCAGGGGGGGGACACAGGGAAGGGACAGGGGAGGGGTAACAGGGGAGAGACCAGGGGGAGGAGGACACAGGGAAGAGACCAGGGGAGGGGACACAGGGAGAGAGAACAAAGGGAGGGGACCAGGGGAGAGACCAGGGGGAGGGGGACACAGGGGAGAGACCAGAGGAAGGGGGACACAGGAGAGACCAGAGGAGGGGGTCCAGGGGAGAGACCAGGGGGGGGGACACAGGGGAAAGAAAAGGGGACGGGGAAAACAGGTGAGAGACCAGGGGAGGGAAGAGACCAGGGGGAGGGGGACACAGAGAAGAGACCAGAGGGAGGGGGACACAAGGGAGAGACCAGGGGGGGGGGGAAACAGGGGAGAGTCCAGGGGGAGAGGGGCACGGGGAAAAGGGACAGGGGAGGGTCACAAGGGAGAGACCAGGGGGAGGGGGACACAGGGGAGAGACCAGGGGGAGGGGGACACAGGGGAGAGACCAGAGGAAGGGGGACACATGGGAGACACCGAGAGGAGGGGGACGCAGGGGAGAGACCAGGGGGAGGGAGCGCAGGGGAGAGACCAGGGGAGGGGGACACAGGGAGAGAAAAGGGGAGGGAGACACAGGTGAGAGACCAGGAGGAGGGGGAGACATAGGGGAGAGACCAGGGGGAGGGGACACAGGGGAGAGACCAGGGGGAGGGACACAGGAGAGAGACCAGGGGAAGGGAGACACAGGGGAGAGACCAGAGGGAGGGGACACAAGGGAGGGGAACAGGGGGAGGGGAACACAGGAGAGGGACCAGAACGAAGAAACACAGGAATGGACCAGGATGAGGGGACACAGGTAATGGGCCAGGACGATGGGACACAGGGGATGGACCAGGATGAGGGAACACAGGGGATTGACCAGGATGAGGGGACATAGGGGAGGGACCAGGATGAAGGGACACAGGGATGGATCAGGATGAGGGGACACAGGGAGAGACCAGGGGGAGGGGACACAGGGAGAAAACCAGAGGGTGGGGGACACAGGGGAGAGACCAGAGGGAGGGGGACACAGGGGAGAGACCAGGACGAGGAGACACAGGGGATGGGCCAGGATGAGGGAACACAAGGGTGGACCAGGATGAGGGGACACAGGAGATGCACCAGGATGAGGGGACACAGGGAAGGGACCAGGATGAAGGGACACAGGGGATGGACCAGAAGGAGGGGACCAGGATAATTTTTTTTTAAATTTCAAAAAATTTGATACACCAGCAGTGTGCTGCTACTATCTTCTATATGTATGTCAGTTACACAGTGTAAACAAAAGCTAGCTGTGTTTACCCTGTCAGGGAGGCCTGAGCAGCACGACCGGACGCATACACTTGCATCTCCCTTGTCGGAGTTCATAAGTTCTAACGTTAAGTGTTAAAGTGTTCTCTGTGAGGGAACACCCACAGGTGAAGAACAACACGATGGGAACACAGACCAGACCACAAGCTCGCCTTCCCTCCACAGACGCATTCACTGAAAAAAGGAATATTAAACACCATTGTTCGCTTGGTGCAGTCGCGTCATTGCTCAGTACATGGACTTGAAAGTATTATTATTATTATTATTATTATTATTAGAAAAATACCTACATATTCTCTCTCCTTCGTGTGGCAGTATTTGTTCAGCCTATCTGCCTGCCTGCCGCTGGGTTTGACGTGAAGGCCTTCCTCGGCACCAAGAATGCTACGGTGGCAGGCTGGGGACGCACCCAGGTCAGCCAGAGCTCAGACCTCCTGCAGAAGGTCAACCTTCCTCTCTTCGACTACGATAAGTGCAAGACTCTATACAGCAGCTCCATCACAGCTGAAGAGGTCAGTGTTACTCTGTCTCTCTGTCTCTCTGTCTCTGCTCTCTGTCTCTCTCTCTCTCTCTCTCTGTCTCTTCTCTCTCTCTGTCTCCTGATGCCTTGTATCTTATTGTACCTCACACGTTATACATAATACATCATGTATAACATTCATCTTACAACATACATAGTACGCCACTCATCATACAGCATATATAATGCACCAAACATTTTCAACATATAACCTACAATATACATCATACAGTATAGATCACACAGCATGTATCATACAATATATACCATACATCATACATTTGTAATATACGTAATACAGCATAGAGAATAGATCGCAGCATATATCATGCATCACATATCATACAGAATACATCATACAGTATATAGCTTGAAATATTGTAGCCACCAAAGTCAGTGCATCTCCCGCGTATCATGCCTCACCCATCATGCCTCACCCATCATGCCTCACCCATCATGCCTCACCCATCATGCCTCACCCATCATGCCTCACCCATCATGCCTCACCCATCATGCTTCACCCATCATGCCTCACCCATCATGCCTCACCCATCATGCCTTCACCCATCATGCCTCACCCATATGCCTCACCATCATGCTTTACCCATCATGCCTCACCATCATGCCTCACCCATCATCCCTCACCCATCATGCCTCACCCATCATGCCTCACCCATCATGCCTCACCCATCATCCCTCACCCATCATGCCTCACCCATCATGCCTCACCCATCATGCCTCACCCATCATGCCTCACCCATCATGCCTCACCCATCATGCCTCACCCATCATGCTCACCCATCATGCCTCACCCATCATGCCTCACCCATCATCCCTCACCCATCATCCCTCACCCATCATGCCTCACCCATCATGCCTCACCCATCATGCCTCACCCATCATGCCTCACCCATCATGCCTCACCCATCATGCCTCACCCATCATGCCTCACCCATCATGCTCACCCATCATGCCCTTCACCCATCATCTCACCATCATGCCTCACCCATCATGCCTCACCCATCATGCCTCACCCATCATGCCTCACCCATCATGCCTCACCCATCATGCCTTTACCCATCATGCCTCACCATCATGCCCCCTCACCCATCATGCCTCACCCATCATGCCACACCCATCATTTCCTACACCCATCATGCCTCACCCATCCATGCCTCACCCATCATGCCTCACCCATCATGCCTCACCCATCATGCCTCACCCATCATGCCTCACCCATCATGCCTTCACCCATTTATGCCTCACCCATCATGCCTCACCCATCATGCCTCACCCATCATGCCTCACCCATCATGCCTCACCCATCATGCCTCACCCATCATGCCTCACCCATCATGCCTCACCCATCATCCCTCACCCATCATGCTTCACCCATCATGCCTCACCCATCATGCCTCACCCATCATGCTCACCCATCATCCTCACCCATCATGCCTCACCCATCATGCCTCACCCATCATGCCTCACCCATCATTTCCTCACCCATCATGCCTCACCATCATGCCTCACCCATCATGCCTCACCCATCATGCCTCACCCCTCATTTCCCATGCCTCACCCATCATGCCTCACCCATCATGCCTCACCCATCATGCCTCACCCATCAGGCCTCACCCATCATGCCTCACCCATCATGCCTCACCCATCATGCTCACCATCATGCCTCCCACCCATCATGCCCTCACACCCATCATGCCTCACCCATCATTGCCTCACCCATCATGCCTCACCCATCATGCCTCACCCATATGCTCACCATCATGCCTCACCCATCATGCCTCACCCATCATGCCTCACCCATCATGCCTCACCCATCATGCCTCACCCATCATGCCTCACCATCATGCCTCACCCCTCATGCCTCACCCATCATCCTCACCCATCATGCCTCACCCATCATGCCTCACCCATCATGCCTCACCCATCTGCCTCACCCATCATGCCTCACCCATCATGCCTCACCCATTCATGCCTCACCCATCATGCCTCACCCATCATGCTTCACCCATCATGCCTCACCCATCATGCCTCACCCATCATGCCTCACCATCATGCCTCACCCATCATGCCTCACCCATCATGCCTCACCCATCATGCCTCACCCATCATGCCTCACCCATCATCCCTCACCCATCATGCCCCACCCATCAGCCTCACCCATCATGCCTCACCCATCATGCCTCACCCATCATGCCTCACCCATCATGCCTCACCCATCATGCCTCACCCATCATGCCTCACCATCATGCCTCACCCATCATGCCTCACCCATCATGCCTCACCCATCATGCCTCACCCATCATGCCTCACCCATCATGCCTCACCCATCATGCCTCACCCATCATGCCTCACCCATCATGCCTCACCCATCATGCTCACCCCTCATCCTCACCATCATGCCTCACCCATCATCCTCACCATCATGCCTCACCCCTCATGCCTCACCCATCATTCCTCACCCATCATGCCTCCCCCATCATGCCTCACCCATCATGTCTCACCCATCATGCCTCACCCATCATGCCTCACCCTCATGCCTCACCCATCATGCCTCACCCATCATACCTCAAACCATCATCCCTCACCCATCATGCCTCACCCATCATGCCTCACCCATTCCCCTCCTCCATCATGCCTCACCCATCATGCCTCACCATCATGCCTCACCCATCATGCCTCACCCATCATGCCTCACCCATCATGCCTCACCCATCATGCCTCACCCGCCCTCACCCATCATGCCTCACCCTCATGCCTCACCCCATGCCTCACCCATCATGCCTCACCCATCATGCCTCACCCATCATGCCTCACCCATCATGCTCACCCATCATGCCTCACCATCGCCCCCTGCCCTCAAACCCATCATGCTCCACCCATCATCCCTCACCCATCATGCCTCACCCATATGCCTCACCCATCATGCCTCACCCATCATGCCTCACCCATCATGCCTCACCCATCATGCCTCACCCATCATGCCTCACCCATCAGCCTCACCATCATGCCTCACCCATCATGCCCTTTACCCATCATGCCTCACCCATGCCTCACCCATCATGCTTCACCCAGCCTCCCATCATGCCTCACCCATCATCGCCAATTCACCCATCATGCCTTCACCATCATGCCTCCCCCCATCATGCCTCACCCATCATGCTCACCCATCCTCATCCTCACCCATCATGCCTCACCCATCATGCCTCACCCATCATCCTCACCCATCATGCTTCACCCATCATGCCTCACCCATCATGCCTCACCCATCTGCCTCACCCATCATGCCTCACCCATCATGCCCTCACCCATCATGCCTTTACCATTATGCCTCACCCATCATGCCTCACCCATCATGCTTCACCCATCATGCCTCCCCCCATCATGCCTCACCCATCATGCCTCACCCATCATGCTTTCACCCATCATCCCTCACCCTCATGCCTCACCCATCATGCCTCACCCATCATGCCTCCATCTCCCCACCCATCATGCCTCACCCATCATGCCTCACCCATCATGCCTCACCCATCATGCCTCACCCATCATGCCTCACCACATCTCACCCATCGCCCACATGCCTCACCCATCATGCCTCACCCATCATGCCTCACCCATCATGCCTCACCCATCATTCACCCATCATGCCTCACCATCATGCTCACCCATCATGCCTCACCCCTCATCCCCTCACCCATCAGCCACCTCATCCTCACCCATCATGCCTCACCCATCATGCCTCACCCATCATCCTCACCCATCATGCCTCACCCATCATGCCTCACCCATCATCCTCACCCATCATGCCTCACCCATCATGCCTCACCCATCATGCCTTTACCCATCATGCCTCACCCATCATGCCTCACCCATCATCCTCACCCATCATGCCTCACCCATCATGCTCACCATCATGCCTCACCCATCATGCTCACCCATCATGCCTCACCCATCATGCCTCACCCATCATGCCTCACCCATCATGCCTCACCCATCATGCTTCACCATCATGCCTCACCCATCATGCCTCACCCATCATGCTTCACCCATCATGCTTCACCCATCATGCCTCACCCATCATGCCTCACCCATCATGCCTCACCCATCATGCCTCACCCATCATCCCTCACCCATCATGCCTCACCCATCATGCCTCACCCATCATGCCTCACCCATCATGCCTCACCCATCATGCCTCACCCATCATGCCTCAACCATCATGCCTCACCCATCATGCCTCACCCATCATGCCTCACCCATCATCCCTCACCCATCATCCCTCACCCATCATCCCTTTACCCATCATGCCTCACCCATCATGCCTCACCCATCATGCCTCACCCATCATGCCTCACCCATCATGCCTCACCCATCATGCTTCACCCATCATGCCTCACCCATCATGCCTCACCCATCATCCTCACCCACATGCCTCACCCATCATGCCTCACCCATCATGCCTCACCCATCATGCTTCACCCATCATGCCTCACCCATCATGCCTCACCCATCATGCCTCACCCATCATGCCTCACCCATCATGCCTCACCCATCATGCCTCACCCATCATGCCTCACCCATCATGCTTCACCCATCATGCCTCACCCATCATGCTTCACCCATCATGCCTCACCCATCATGCCTCACCCATCATGCCTCACCCATCATGCCTCACCCATCATGCTTCACCATCATAATTGCCTCACCCATCCAATGCCCTCACCCATCATGCTTCACCCATCATGCCTCACCCATCATGCCTCACCCATAGCCTCACCATCATGCCTCACCCATCATGCCTCACCCCATCATGCCTCACCCCTCATGCTTCATCCCATCATGGCTCACCATCATGTCACCCCTGCTCACCCGCCATCCCTGCCTCACCCATCATGCTTCACCCATCATGCCTCACCCATCATGCCTCACCCATGCCTCACCCATCATGCCTCACCATCATGCCTCACCCCCATGCCCAACCCATCATGCTTCACCATCATGCTTCACCCATCATGCTCACCCACATGCCTCACCATCAGCTTCACCCATCTGCTCACCCATCATGCTTCACCCATCATGCTCACCCATCATGCCTCACCCATCATGCCTCACCATCATGCCTCACCCATCATGCTCACCATCATGCTCACCCATCATGCTTCACTCCCTCATGCCTCACCCACATGCCTCACCATCATCTTCACCCATCATGCTCACCCATCATGCCCTTTACCCATCATGCCTCACCCATCAATGCTTCACCATCATGCTCACCCATCATGCTTCACCCATCATGCCTCACCCATCATGCCTCACCATCATGCCTCACCCATCATGCCTCACCATCATGCTCACTCATCATGCTCACCCATCATGCCTCAAAACCCCTCATGCCTCAACCCATCATCCTTCACCCATCATGCCTCACCCATCATGCCTCACCCATCATGCTCACCCATCATGCCTCACCCATCATGCCTCACCCATCATGCTTCACCCATCATGCCTCACCATCATGCCTCACCCATCATGCCTCACCCATCATGCTTTACCAACATGCCTCACCCATCATGCCTCACCCATCATGCCTCACCCATCATGCCTCACCCATCATGCCTCACCCATCATGCTTCACCCATCAAGCTTTACCCATCATGCCTCACCCATCATGCCTCACCCATCATGCCTCACCCATCATGCTCACCCATCATGCTCACACTCATTCATCATGCTTCAAACCCCTCATGCCTCACCCATCATGCCTTCATCCATCATGCCTCACCCATCATGCCTCACCATGTCCCCTGCATCTCACCCATCATGCTTCACCCATCATGCCTCACCCATATCATGACTCTCTACCATCATGCCTCACCCATCATGCTCACCCATCATGCCTCAACCCATTCATCCCTCACCATCATGCTCACCCATCATGCTTCACACCATCATACCCTCTACATCACCCTCTGCCCATCATGTCTCACTCACATGCTTACATCATGCCTCACCCATCATGCTTCACCCATCATCCTCACCCTCATGCTTCACTCCATCATGCCTCACCCTATGTCAGCCATCAGCCTCAAACATGCCTCACCCATCATGCTTCAACCCATCATGTGCTTCACCCATACATTCTCACCCATCATGCTTCACCCATCATCCCTCACCCTCATGCCTCACTCATCATGCTCACCCATCATTGCTTTACCATCATGCCTCACCCATCAATGCCTCACCCATCAGCTCTCACTCATCATGCTTCAAGATAAACTCACCATCATGCTTACCCATATCCCTCACCCACATGCCTCACACATCATGCCTCACCCATCATGCTTCACCCATCATGCATCACCCATCATGCTACCCTCATGCCATACTCATCATGCTCACCATCATAGCTCACCCATCATGCTTCACCCATACATGCCTCACCCATCATGCTCACCATCATGCCTCACCCATCATGCTTCACCATCATGCTTCACCCATCATGCCTCACCAATCATGCTTCACCCATCATGCTTCACCCATCATGCCTCACCCATCATGCTTCACTCCATCATGGCTCACCCATCAATGCCTCACCCAATCAGCTCACCCTCATCCTCACCCATACTCACCCATGCTCACCCATCATCTTCACCCATCATGCCTCACACATCGACACCCATCATGCTTCATCCCATCATGCTCACCTTCATGCTCACCATCATGCCCTTCACCATCATGCCTCACCCATCATGCTCGCCATCATGCCTCACCCATCAAGCTTTACCACATCCTCACCATCATGCCTCACCCATCATGCCCTTTACCCATCATGCCTCATCCATCATGCCTCACCATCATGCTTTACCCATTTTATGCCTCACCATCATGCCTTTACCCATCATGCCTCACCATCATGCTTCACCCATCATGCCACCCTCATGCTCACCCTCATGCCTCACCCTCATGCCTCACCATATGCTCACCATCCTGCCTCACCTTTTGGCTTCACCCATCATTTCCTCACCATCATGCTTCACCCATCAGCTCACCCATCATGCTTCACCCTCATGCTCAACCCATCATGTTTCACCCATTGGCTTTACCATCATCCTCACCACATCTTCAACCCCTCATGCTCACCATCATGCCTCACCCATGTGGGTCACATTTAGCCCTCACCCTCATGTGCCTTTATGCCTCACGTCTCACCCATTGCCTCACCAACATGCGTCACCCCTCATGCCCTCACCATCATGTACCCATCATGACTTACCATCAGGGTTCACCCTCATGCCTCACCCATAGTCATACATTAAACACCCTCATTTCCCCCTTGCTTCACCATCAATCCTCACCCACATTTCTCACCCATCATGCTACCCATCATGCCCCACCCATATGCTTCACCATATGCTCACCCATCATGCTTCACCTCTGTCCCATCAGGGCCCCACCCATCAAAGCTTACCCATCATGCGCACCCATCATCGTCACCCATCATGCTCACCCCTCTGCCTACCCATAATGCCTCACCCATCAGGCTTCAACCTTTATCCTCACCTTCATGCTTTACCCCTCAGCCTCACCCATCATCTCACCATTCATGCCTTCACCCAAACATGCTTCACCCATCATGTACCAACATTTCTCACCATCAAAGCTCATCCATCATGCTTTACCACAGCTCACCAAACATGTCTCACCAACCAAAGCTCCCCATCTGCCCCACCCGGTTTTCAGTTTTTTTCATGTCGACCCTAGCTCACCTCGGCCCTTTTCCGCCTCGGAACCGGCATCCTCTCACCTTGGTGATCATATTACATTTTGAATCGTGAACCCTTGGGGTGCACCAACGGTGACCTATTATCATGCCACAGCTTAACCTTGGGTCATCACACAGGCCTGAACCCCGGGGTCATGCGCGAGCGTCCCGTGGGTCTGCACACAGGGTTTGAGTGTGAGTATGCAGGAGCGTGAACCTTTGGGTGGTCATGCGCCAGCTTGACCGTTGGGGCATGCACAACATTGTGAACATGTTGTATGAGTGAACATTGAACCCCTGGTGGGGTCATGCAGCGCAGGGGGTGAACCCGTGTGGTCGCAGGCCCACGGTGAACCCGTGTGGGGTCAGCAGCAGCGTGAACCCATGTGGGGTCATGCACGAGCGGTTTTAACCAGTTGGGGGTCAGCACCGGGGGAAAACCCGTGTGGGGTCCCGCAAACCAGCGTTGACCGTGTGGGTCATCAGCGGCTAGCCGTGGGGATGAGATGAACCCGTGTTGGGCATGCAGCCACGTGAACCATGTGGGTCATGCAAACCCCATGAACCTGTGGGTCTGCAACCCGTGAACCATTGGGGGGCATGCAAAAAAAAGCGGAACCCTGTGGGGGCAGCGCCAGCGTGGGGGGACCCCCCGCGGAGCGGAATTTGGTTTTTTGAAGGAAAAAATTTGCCTGACGAAATTTTTCCCCTTTTTTAGAAACAAATTTTCCAGGGTCATCGGGAAGGTTTTAAAATTTGGCTGCACCAGGTTTGGGTTTTCCCCTTTCATAACACAGATACCCGGTGGCTCCAGCATAACTTTGGTGTTTTTCCCAACCAAAAATAACCTGTTGGGTCATCCAAAAAAAGGCGGGGTTTGGGTTTTTTGAGTTTTGATTTTTGGGTTTTTAGGAATTTTTTTAAAACCCACAAATTTTTTTTCTTCTAGTTTTAAAAAGTTAATGGAGGTTTTTATGGATATGCGTCCTGCATCTGGGTAGGTCCCCCCTTTTATATAACAGATAAAACTTCTTGATACTGGGATCAAGCTTTTTTTTCCCCCTTTAACTTTTTATCCAAAAGGAAAAAAGGGAAAAATTTTTGGGTAGGGCCCCGTTTGACAGTTTTATTAATGAAATTGTGATACTGATTTCTATTTCAATAGCTGAAGAATGATTGCTCTGATCGGCTTGTAACCTGTAATGCTGCTACATTTGATGAGAATGATGATATTTAGTATATATAAAAAAAACCGGAACGGGTGGAGTCTGAATCCATGGCGAGTGAGTCGTAAAACTCCAGGCCAGTGCGTAAACCACTGGACCAGCTGGCTACAATAAGATTCATCCAACTAAGTATATTTGAATATCATAGGGAGGTTAGCATGGGCCACCACTGTGACCACAAATGTAAGCTTTTACTTGCATTTCTTGTCACAGTGGTGGCCCATGGTAACCTTCCTATGATGTATAACTGGATGAATCTTATCGTAGCCAACTGGCCCAGTGGCTGACGCACTGGCCTGGAGTTTTTCGACTCACTTGCCATGGATTCAAACTCCACCCGTTCCGTGGTTTGTATGTTTAGTTTGTGTTGGTACAAATTTGTCGAGATACTAACACAGTTAAGAAATATTTGGACTCATTGAATTACGTGACGTAACTGGTGAATGACCCTTTTTGATCAGCTTTAAGCTTTCGACGCTATTGTATCTTACAGGAAGACTCATTATTTTAATGGGCTTTTTAATCTTTAATTTGGCAATTTTAACACTACATTTATTAGACATACTCTTCAAGACCACTGAAGAATTATTCTTCTTCTTGATTCGCCGGTACTCTCCCGGCCCGGGTCTTTTCCAGATTGTGACCCGGCCTTGGCTCCCTGTCTTGGAAGTACCTCATCAGCTTCGGTACCAATTCTCTCAAAGCCTAGCCCCATTCCCCGCCCTCATGGGGCTCGTAGGGAGAAGCTAGGCCTCTGATCTGCCATCTGCCCCTCCCCAGGGAGGCTCGTGGGAGTGGCAGTCTTGTGAGCTGCAGGTGGTAGCAAGCTCTGGTTCTACCATCATCCCCGCCCTAGGAGGGATCGTGGGAATGGTCTTCTCTATCTCTACTGAAGAATTAGGTTAGGTTAGGTTTGTCACGAAACAGGACAAGTGTTTCCTGACACGGGTCTTTATCAGATGATGACCCGCCTTTGGACATCTGACCGAGAATTTTTTTTTTTATTCACCGGTACTCCGCTGTGGCTCCCTATCTGGGGAGTGTCTCGAGACAAGTCTCCCATGGGAGGAGGTATAAGTACCCTCTCATCTTTGGGACCAAATGTCCCCAGGCCTAGCCACAGTCCCCGCCCTCACGGGGCTCACAAGGAGAAGCTAGACCTCTGGTCTGCCATCTGCCCCGCTCTAGGGAGGCTCGTGGGGTTAGTTAGTTAGTTAAAGATTAGCCGGTATTCTCCCGGCCCGGGCCTTGTCCAAGTGGTGGCCCAGCCTTGGCTCCCTCTTTAGGGAGTGTCTGAGACCTAAGTCTCCCATGGGAGGAGGCACAAGTACCCCCTCATCTTTGGGACCAACTATCCCCAGGCCTAGCCACAAGCTAGGCCTCTCTGGTCTGCCATCCCCGCCTCAAGGGGGCAAATGGGAATGACAGCCTTATGAGCTAAAGGCTCGGACTCAGGCACCTACCCTACCCTAGAAGGGTTAGGCATGGTATCGATGGCTCGTGGGGATGGAGAAAAAGTTAACATACTTTTTAAAATATTTCTAATCTACACTATGCTAAATTTTATGCAAATTCTTTTTAGCTGTTTAAGAAACATCCATTGCTTTTACTTGAAACCTACACTATATATAAATGCACTTAAATATTAAGCCAGTTTTAAAATATTTCTCTTTTTTTGGCAATGGAGTAGTGTTTAGTAGAGAGATACATCAGCCTTTCATAAGACTGAAGTAATTAGTTAGTGGAGAAGCCAGGCAGGTGGCTTAAAGACAGTGACTGGTAACGGGGATTCCCTGCGTTACCAAGGATTTTATCAAGATTAATCGTGAAGGATGGAAGTCCAGGACAGTTGCCAGTAGGTAATTAATATTTCAGTAGATGTTTGTTGGTTTCATTTAAGCAAGAACTGGGTACTTCCAGAGTGGAGAAGCTAGGTTGTCAGTACAGTGCAGGAGCAGTAACAGTTTGGTTGATCAGGCAATCAGCAGGGAAATGCAAGACAAAAGTTGATGAGTAAGACACGTCTTTAACACATATCATTATATTCAGTCAATAAAGATACCTAAGTGTTGCACATGTGTCTCATCAATTAAGACACCTAGGTGCTCTTATTATTACATTCGTGGGTAAGGAGCCGAGGACGAGGTCATTTAGCGTCTGGGGGTCAATGGGAGGCAATCAGGGTCGATCCAAGGACGGGAAGGACACTGCCAGTTCATTGGATCAACAGTTCCTTACTGTAATCAAGGAGAAGAGACACTAGTAACAAAGAAACCTATAGGAAGAGAAGGTTTCTCACCCACTGGGAACCTCATCCAGTACTTGGAACTTCCAGTGAGTGAAACCTCGACCTCCCAGAGGGTGAAACCCTGACTGAAACGTGTATAATTGAATGGTTCTTTGTTGCAAGGGACTCTGTAATACAAGTTTGGGCGTCAATGTTCATAGTCTAGAAAGTGAACGCGCGTTCTCTTTCCAATTTATTTCTCCTGTTGTGTTTAATTGTTGGCTGGTCCGTCAGATCGGTGTTGTGTCGCGAGGGAAGGCTCAGTGCGGCACCGTGGGTACACCCGCCATCTACACCAACGTCGCCTCCTACAGGAGCTGGATCCTGCAGAACCTTCACCCATAAGTTCTTCCCAGAGGCCGCCGCTACACGGACGTTCTTCTTGGTACTGGCCGGAACCTCGGGACGCCAGGATCTCTCACAGTATCGACCATATCTTAGCAATGAGATCTCTTTTTTTTTATATAATGACATGGCTGAGGTTACAATGGTGATATTATCCAACGCGTGGCCATGGCAACATTGAAAGGAAGAGCCATGGGCCTATCAGCTTGAGAGTGGAGACGTTATTTTTAAGAGCTAAACTAAGATATCATTACTAAGATACTGCATTGTTGATATTCTTTATGTGAAAGTGTTAAACCCGTGTTTTATTTTATTTACCCAGTGCTTCAATACACATTTTTCCTAACATTATTAAATTTAAACTATCATTGTCAACCTGCTCCATTCGTCATCACTTTACTCTCATGTTGTATAATTGCCACAAAGTAAGGAAAACTGTTCAAATTGTTTCTTTCACATTTCGCAATCCGTATCCATAATTATTTCCGTGATGTCGACTGTAACAGAAAAGTTAGACGAAAGGGACAATATCCTCACCATTAATGCAGAAAGATATTCTGGGTAGTTAGTTATCCAAATACCGTGTGGAAAGAATGGTGCCCTTCCCCCTAGTCACACATCACTCGAACCACACCAGCGTGTTAAATTAAGGTGACCCCTTTTTTTGTATTAGCTACACTGGATACATCAGCGGTATGTTATTACACTATTCTGAATAAAAGTTATACAGTGGGAAACAAAGCTAGCTGTACACAAATAACCTGCACATAAAAGAGAGAAGCTTACGACGACGTTTCGGTCCGACTTGGACGATGGGGATGTCCGGGTGTTGTGCATGTGTCTTAATTTCATCTTGTCGGTATTATATACAATTCTTGTACTACTACTACTACTACCTCCACCTCTTCCTGCCTATATATAGCCGTCCTGCTCCACCTCTGGTTAGTGTGACTTTGTCAATGGTCCAAGTCGGACCGAAACGTCGTCGTAAGCTTCTCTCTTTTATGTGCGGGTTATTTGTGTATCGTTCCAGTCACGGTATTGTGCCTTTTTGTTATTTAAAGCTAGCTGTGTTTCCCTGTCATATTCCATCACGTAGGTTGGGGGCTCATACAAGGTGTTGGAATGTGTCAGCCTGAGCTGGGAGACTTCAGTCGGAACCCCAGCGTCTGGATGGGAAATTAAAGAGTCCATCTGGATCATTAAGTGTAATCCTGGATCCTTCATCTGATAATCGCCAGAGACTACTTGCACTTTAAGTGTGTGAAAAGTTAAAAACTTTACGTATGCAGTTTGCAAAGCTCTGTTCCTCATAGGTTTAAATTTGTGTATAATGTGCTTGATAATGTGTGCAGGAGATACAAGTGTATAGCATGTAATAAAGATCTAGGAATATTGTATTTATCTAAAACCAGTTACGTGAATTAAAATAAATGTATTTACTGAGCTGAGTTGTCCAGAACTGAACATTAGATCTCACATTGGTATTAACACAGGTGTTACTGACGTACAATGACCCTGCTATTAACACATGTGTCACTGACGTACAATGACCCTGCTATTAACACATGTGTCACTGACGTACAATGACACTGGCATTAACACAGGTGTCACTGACATACAATGACCATGGTATTATCACAGGTGTCACTGACGTACAATGGTATTATCACAGGTGTCACTGACGTACAATGGTATTATCACAGGTGTCACTGACATACAATGACACTGGTATTAACACATGTCGCTGACGTACAATGACCCTGGCATTAACACAGGTGGCACTGATTGAATGACCCTGGTAAAAAACACATGTCCACGGAAGTACCAAGCCCCTGGTTTTTACCACGGGTTCACGACGTACAATGCCATGGTATTACCACGGGTTTCCCATTTGATGTACAATGACCCGGGAAAATTAACACGGGGGGCACTGACTGAAATTTAACCCTGGTTTTAACCAGTTTTTCACTGAAGTCCCCAAGTTTTCTAAAAAAAAATTTAACACGGGTGTCACAGCCCCAAACACCCGGGAATGAACACAGGGGCACTGATGTACAATAACCCTGGGTAACACGGGGCCCCATTTGGGGTACAGTTCCCCTGGTTTAACACAGTTTTTCACGGAGGCAAAATCCCCTGGAAATTTAAAGGGCAGGCGTCATGACGTAAAAAATAATTTCGCGGCCTGAACACGGTAGGGGGGCGGGTTGTGCCTGCCCCCCTTTGCTGTTTGTGGGCGGCTCCCTTGCAGTTACCTGGCTGGTGGTGTGAAGTGGTGCGGGTCACACCTCGGTAACAACTTAGGGGGCACTTTTGTTTGGGCAAAAAGGTGGTTAGTCTGAGACAAAGGAAAATACGTAGGCATTGACCCTTTAAAGGAACGAAAGCCCTTCTGCGCAAGTCTTTTTGCCAAAGATCATCCGGGGGAACATAGGGCGTACAAGATAGGGGACTTGTTGGTGTAGCATTAAAGGGAGGACAACGAATTTTCGTCAAACTACTATCGTAACGGTTTATGAATCTTTAGTCCCCCGGGTTTTCCCGGGGACTGAGTCTTAACGTCAAACCACGGGTCAGTGAAGAATGATAGATTTTTCCCAGGGTTTATACGGGGATAAAATTTAAACGCAACTTCCCTTTGAGGGGGCCCGGGGGGATATAAGGAAATTTTTTGAAAAGTAGGGGCCCAGTGCATTTTGCCAACAGGGTACGGGGGCGGCAGGAGCCTATCGGGTTTTCCAGGGGGGTTTTTTAAAACCTAAAAAGGGCCCTTTGGGGCCCCAATTTTCCATCCTATGTGTTCTGCAAGATTTCGGGCCGCAGGTAAGGGAAAAGAAACCCCAGGACAACGCTTTTAAGTGCCGCCTAGGGGGGATTTATGATCACATTGCGGCGCCCTGTGACAAGGGGAAGCCATGTGCCGGGACCGTGGTGGACGTCGCAGCCCCCTGCTTAAAAAGGGGCAGGGGAGGAAAAAACCCATCGGATGGGGGCGTGGGGGTTTTGTGGAGCGGATAGTGGTTTCGGGCACACAGGACTGGCGGCAGTTGGAGTCCCGCCCCCAGCTGCCAAATCAGGGGGTCGTTTTTCCTGGGATAAGGGGGACCCAAAATACGGAAAGGTTCTTAGATTAAAGGAGGAATTGGGGGAGGTGTTAAGATTTTTGTCACCGCCAGAGAGGGAGGGTTACTTTTTTTTGAGGGGTTTGGGTCATCGGAGAATGTCGCATCCAGAAGTCTGAGACTTTGAAAAATTTGGGACGTGAGGGTTTTTTGGGAGTTTTCCTTTGGAATCTTTAAAACCTTTCCCTCAGGGGAGGTGGAGGTTCATGAGGGGTTAACATCTGCCCAGGGACTTGGTAACAGACTGTCACGAAAAAGGGAGGGCGGCTCCCATCAATTCTGATGACGTCCTTAGGCCGGGCCAAAAAGGGCCGGGAAAAACTAAAATGGGTGAAGTGTGAAGGTGGGGTTTTTGTAGGTGGTGGTAGGCAAAAAGGGGGCCCCAAAAAAAGAAGGGGGAGGGAAAAGAGGACTCTGAAGGGGCCCAAAACGAAATTAAAAGCTCGGGGAGTGATGAGAGGAAGCGGGGGTGGAAACTTTTTAATACCTTGGTGTTTTGGCTGTAAATTTTTAATGGGTTTGTAGGGGGTTTGAAGAAAATTTTGGTTTTTCGTTTTTTCTGAATAAACTAGAGGGGATTTTTGTGTTCCTGCGGGAGCACAATTTCAAAGAGGTAGGGTGTTGGGGTGGCGGGTTTTCGAGTAGGTTACCCTGCCATCGCCCCGCTAAAAGGTGGTGGGGAATTTTAAAAAAGGGAGACGACCCCCTTTTTTTTTCCCGGGAAGGAGGGGGGAGGGGGAGGGAGGGTGTTCGTTTGGATGGCTGGTAGGGGGAAATGTGTGTCTTTTGGAGGTGTAGGCCCCGGGCCCGAAAATAAAGAAAGGTAAAGAATGATTTTGGTTTTGGGGGATTTGTGTTTTTCTTAAGTGCCTGCCAGAGGGGGCTTTGGGTTTGGGGGACGGGAAAATATGTAATCAGGGTGGCGATTGGCCCCAAGAGGGGCTGGTTTAATATTTGTCCCTTTTTGGGATTTTTTAAGGGGTTTTTTGGGTTTAGTGATGCCTTTGGGGGGGGGGTGTGGGAGACTAAATTTCGTTTTGTTAGGAGTGGATAGCTGCGAGACAAAAAGGTCCCTTTCCCCGGGAGTGATGTGAAATCTTTCGGGTAGGGTTGGGGCCCCCCCTACAATGTCAATCATAGGGGAGTGGTGGTTTGGGGGGTTTGGGGGGGGGACGCTCGCGGACAATAAAAGTTATTGGAAATTAAATATAATGTGTTTGGTGATGAGGGGGGGTTTGGGGGGGTTTTTCGTCCTATGGAGGGGGCTTGGGGTGGAAGAACAGGAGTGGATGCATTGTGACAAGGTGGGATATTTTCGCAAAAGGGAAAGGGTTAGAAAATTTTTTGTGGAGAGGGAAAACGTTAAATTTAAAAATTTAAAAAATGGACTGGTAACTATTTTGGGAAGATTTGGGTTTAAAAGGTTGCATGGGAGGGGGGGGGGGGGGAATAATTTTTTCCCATGGAAAGAAATAGCTGAAAAAAGGGAAAGGGGGGGTGTTTCAAAATGAAAAAGGGGTTTTAAGCGTAAGGGTGCAGGCAGGGGTGGAGAAGTGCTTTGGGGGACAACCTCAGGTGTTTTTGGGGGCATCAAAAGCAAAGGGGAGGCCCGGGACCGCAAAACATGTTTAAGGTAACGGAGATGGTTGGGGAAAAAAAGGAGTAGGACAGGAGATACAACCACGAAGGGGGTGTGTGCGTATGCGGGGCTTTGGCGAGAAGTACTGGAAAAAGTGGGGGGGTGGTGAAAGTGGCGTTGGGGCCAAAGGGGTTGGTTTGTATGTGACGTGTAATTTGGAAATAGTGATCGGAAAAGGGTTTTAGGTGGGTTTTTTCGGGAAGGGAAAAGAAATGGGTTTAAGGGGGAAGAGGAAGGGGAAAGCTTTCCCGGGATTGACGGTCCCCCCGGGAGAATTTTATTTACAACATTGGGGGGGTTTAAAAGGAATTTTTTAGTTAGGTTATTTAATCGTATGAAGGAAGGGTAAGTTGGGGGGGAAACAGGTAACAGCAGTTGTAGTGTTTGGGCCCCAAGGTCAAAGGGGGAGCCCAACCTTCGGGAAAATACCGGCCCTACACGATTGTTTCCGAAAATAAGGGTTTGCAAAAAATTTTAGGTAATAGGTTCAAAGGGGTTTGGGGGGGGTGTCCTTAAAACTCAGTTTGGGGTTTCCGGGGAAAGGGGAAAGATGAAAAGGGCAGGGGTCGAAAGTTTTGTGGAAAACTAAAGGGGGGGGGTGGAGGGCGGCTTTGTTTTGGGTCTAGATTGGCAGGGGATTGATAGAAATGGGGAAAGGGGGGCTTTTTCAGGTTTATTTAGAGACAGGGTTTTGGGGGAAATAGTCGAGTGGGTAAAAAACGTTGTACCCAAAGGGGGCGAAAATTTAGGATACAAAATTAATGGGTGTAAGGGGGGGAAAAATTTCAAAGGGTAGAGGGCCTTTAAAAGGGGTGCCCCATGCCAAATTTTTGTTTTTCGTGTTTTCCAAAACCCCTTTTTTAGAAAGGGGGTTTAACCCCTTCTTATTACGACCTGTGGGGAATGTGGGGGGGGGGAGGGCATGGCCGGGGGTTTAATTGGGGTAGTTGACGAACCCTGTTCTTTATTCGGAAGGGGTTTTCAATGGGGGTGTTGGAAAGAGGTGGGGCAATTTTTTGGGGAAATGCCCACGGGGATGCAGGTAAATAGTGTGAAGTCAAGGTACATGGGTTGGGTTCTTTGGGGGGGGGGTGTGGGGGGAGGGTGTAATTTTTGTTAAAGAATGGGCCCGGGGTTTTTTAAAGATTTGTGGTATTTTTTTATAAGGATGACTGGGTTTCGGGGCGGGAGGAAAACCGGGTAGGTTTTTGGAAAGGATCGGGGGGGTTATGTTCTGGGGGCCCCAGCACCTAAATCTTTTACAGCGAGTGTAGTTTGGGGGAATATTTTATTGTATAAATAAGGTTTTGGCCCTGTTGCAGCTGTGTTCCCAATTACAGGGACAGCGTGAACATTAAAATGGGTCAGGGACAGCGATTGCGGGAATTCTAAGACGGGTGTAAAAATTTTTGTGGGGTTCACATGTGTTTGGGTTACGGAGGGTTTGTTGTAATGTTACCTGAAATCGGGGGGGTTTGGGGGGTTGAGGGATTTGAGACGGAGGGCTAAATGTGTGTTTATTAAATGGGAAGTGTTGCGTGAGGGTGTGAACGCGGGGCGTTTGGGAAGGATACATGACAGGCTGGGTATGTGGTATCAAGGAATGGAGTTGAGGGAATGTGAAATAGTTTTGAGGGCTGTGATGTTGTTGGGAATGAGAAGGTTCGTATAAGGGTTTGTGTAGGTTACTTTTTGGTAGGTGCGTTGTCCCATTTGAGGGTTTGTTCCCCATGTATGGTGGAAGAGTATTTGGTTTAGATTTTAGTAAAATGAAGTTAAACCCTCGGGCGCTTGAGGTGATGTTTCGTTTTTCTGCAGGGATCCTTCCGTCTGGTGGATACTACGAAACAGACAGGTTGTAGAGGGTGGGGGGTGTGGTATCTGTGGAGGGGATGAGCTGCTTTCCCATGTAGTTTACTTTTGTGAAGGCTAGAGGAGGTTGGTGCTGGTTAAGTGGGTTTGGGTACAGAGGGGGGGGGGGCCGTGGGGTGTCGGTTTGCGTGCTTTAAGTCTA